ACTTTCAAACACATTCAGTCACTCACGAACAGGTGACTCACGCCGCTTGCCTTCGCTCACACAGTATGTAATTGAGGAATTTTTCCATAGAAAATGTAGGCTCAGTCACTCAAAATAAGGCTTGGGTACCATCATGGAAGAATAAACATTTTAACTGAGCTACTGAATGAGTGCTCTACTGTGAGTGACTCGTTTACTTCCTAATCATTCAGACTCTCACGAGGTAGTGAATTGTTCATGTTCATATTCATATGGAAATGACTCATTGAACCTGACTGTTTTGTAAACTGCATGTGACTGAATGCTGATGCTGATGTTTTCACTGGTATCACTTGAGTTTCTTACTTTTCCAGGACATCAGCGGAGATTTTGACATCGGAAGTCTCCACTCAGACTCACAAATTTCTGTTTAGTGGAAGCGCGATAGTAGTATAGTGTTTAATTAATTTATCACTGAATTTTTAATAGTATAATTCTTCTTAGAAATACTGTATAATGTTTTTCAATGTCATATTTATTTATCATAACATCATTTTACGTGGGTTTTTATCGAAATAGAGAAGCACAAAATCTTGAGTAAGGTTGTAATATTTCATACAAAAGAAATATATTTCGAAGAGTCTATAAGTTATGCCAGTAAGTTCGAATTATCGCAAATTTTACATTGTTTTAGATACAACAAATTGCAAAAACTAAATGTGTTGAAATTTTGTCCATGCTAAAGACCTTAGAAACTTTTAAAGTGCCAGAAATTTTAAAACAAATGGAATCCTGGATAATTTATTTATTTTCATTTCACTCTGCAATACGGCATTTTGCATGTTAGTCAAAGTTTTGAATCATCGCGTTTTTATAAGCCAGAATCTTGGATGTTTCTTAATGTCCAGAATATTGGTCTGAGAACTCACATTTTATAAGTCCTGAACATCGAAAACATCGAAACTTGTTGTGGAATTCCCCAAATAATTCTCCTGAACATATTGCTCCTCAGTATTCACTAAATATTCTTTTAAAATTCCCATGGAACAATCTTTGGTATTCCCTCTATATTCCGGTTGGAATTATCTTTGTGTTGTTTCGTGAATTCCTTCAAATGGTCTTCAGAATTCCGTAGGATCGCGTTTACTAAAGATGATTACAGGAACAACCTTGAAACTCTCCATAGTATTCCTTTGAACACTTATTAGAAATTTCTTATACGCTTTTCTCAAAACTTCTTTGAAATACTCCTAATAGTACTTTTGGAATGATCCTCAGAATTTTCATTGAATTTCAGAATAATCTTTAGTTTCCTTAGAATTTCTCTTTTAAGTTGGCAAAACGATTGGACAAATAATTCTCTTGGGCGGTGGTTACATTCCATTATTAAAATGTTTCTTCGAGAGCGTGGTTCAAAGGTCTGGATGTAAGTCGGGGATTCATTCGAGTGATGTCAAGACTTATGTCCAACCACTACTCGCTAGACGCACATCTCTATAGAATAAACCTCGTTGACAGCAATATATGTAGGTGCAGAACCGGTTATGATGACATCGATCACGCAGTTTGGTATTGCCCGGGTAATGACGCCTCCAGAGCACGACTATTGGATACCCTAGTGGCCCGAGGTAGACAACCCTTCCGTGAAGTAAGAGATGTATTGGGAACACGTGATCTTCCCTACATGCAAGCGATCTACGAATTCCTTTGTTTGTCTGATGTTAGAGTTTGATGTGACTATCCCCTCCTTTCCAAACAATTTCCCGCCATTGTGTCCCAGTCTTATTATCCTCCTGTTCATGTGCTACTTGCCCCTGCCCAGCCAGGATTTGGTCAACCGTCCAAGAGTAGTATCTGAAGGAGGCTTCAGAAACCAGTTTCCTACCTAGATCCTTCCAATTGAAATTGTTACCTATTAACCTCGAGCCCGCCACGAGTAATTGGTACCCAATACTAACCTAGAAATACTGCTATTTAAAATGTAAATCAAAAAAAATCTAAGAAAAATCTCCTCAAAATTACTTTGCAGTTTTAGTCAGAACTCTCTTTAAATGCTCTTTGTAATTGACTTGAACTACTCCAAAGAATTGTCTTGAACATTTGCTATGAATCATACTCAAGATTTCCTTAGAAATTCTACTAAGAACAACCTTTGAATTCTCTTTACGTTTCTCCTGGAGTCTGGAGTTCTTTAAAAGATTTCACTTTATTAAAAATTCATCCTCTGAATTCCCTTGAATTTTTTTCTAGAGATCATTTGAATTCTCAATAAAGTCTGTTCACTAAAGTTCATTCGCTTTTAAACGTTTGCAACGCCCTTAATTTATTTGAATTCTGGGTTCTTGCAATTCATTATATGTCCGTAGTCTTGAATATTTAATTTTGTACCAGGTTATTGAAAATGTCGCCAAGTTTGCATTCATTAGGTCCAAAATGAAATAAAACTTGTCTACGTTTAAAATCTGTAGAAATTTTCTATGTCCTAGTACCTTAAAAACACTATTCCAGCCTATGAATTTATGTTGCTACGGAAGATAAATCCACTCCATAATCATTATGCTCAAACAATAAGAGTAACTAACGAGGAAGATAAATTTGGTCGAGTGATGAAATATTTTAAAATTCCTGAGAAGGTTCTCTGACGTGCTTCATTATATTATTTTCTTAAAAAATTACCTGATAATGCAATTTGATTCTTGCGAAATCCAGGTTTTCCAATGTAAAATAATACTCCTAGTAGAGCTTTTCCAAGTTTTTCCAGGCAGTGGATAGCCTGATTAATGCACCAATTCACCTACTTCGTGCATCAGACTTTTATATTTCAATAATTTCACATAACCATAATTCCACATCTTTCTCATCCATCTTCAAGATGGATGTTAAAGGTATACTTTGGTGCAATAAGACCACTGAAAAAGCGCATGAGTTTTGTAGAATATTAGACAAGATTTTCAAAGCAGAGAGTGACAAAATCAGGCCCTTACTGTATTTGCTATTTACGATGAAACGGAAAACACTCTTCCTCTACCCAGCAAAATGTGAATCTTCCATGATATAAAACATACTCCCACTAACACATTCAAACTTCTGTGCTGCATACCCATACACACTCAGAAATTATTACCGTACTCGGTAATTTTTTACCGAACTTTCAACAGCTGAACGTTCGGTAATCAGTTCGGTAAACGAAATGCCTACCGAACGTTCGGTAAACCAATTTTTTGATGAGCTGTCAAAATTACCGAACGATTCGGTACTTTTTTGCGGAGTGATTTGGTAATTTTTTTACCAAACTGTTCTGTAAAACTGATTTTCCCACTATTTTTTTTTAATTTTACTACCGTTTTCAGTTAATTTGAATCAAAAAGTCTTGAAATAATATTTATCAGTTTTTATTTAATTTGAAAATTGTCACTGCACTTGTGATACGTGCAATAAAAAATGTATTTGACGCCAAAATGTGTAAGAGCCCGATGTTATGTGATGCAGTCTAGATAAATAACCTGCAATCAAATCACGCTATCGCTGACAATGCCTGGAAAATAATTGGATTTGCTAAATAAACAATTACTCACGAAATATGTCGGTGATCCATTGATCGTGGTCAAGAATTTTTATCCTTACCTGCTCCATCGTAATTTTTGTAAACTTTATTTGCACTTGATTCCGGATGCACTATTTACTATTCACAAGTAAATAAAACCTCTCCAGATTTGAAAGTTTGATAGTACAAAATTTCGGTAAAATTACTTGTGATTTACGGTTTGTTCGGTATTTTTTTACCGAATTCGGCGTTTTGGCTTATTTTACAGTTCGTTCGGTATTTGTTTTACAGAGTTCATCAAATTTATAATCAAACTACCGAAACTCCGTTAAAATTTTACCGAATATTGGTGAAATAATTTTTGTTTACCGAAAAATCTGTAATATACTAAATTTACCGATTATTTCCGGTAAAAAATTACCGAACAAGCAAAACGTAGCTGAGTGTATACAAACTGAAATACATCTTCAGGTTGACAATCTTGAGTTGAAATGAAATTTTCAAATTCTACACGTTCTCTGCTGGTCATGGTTTCTGGCCATCAAGAAAATAGTTAACTAACTTTTAACTCTCATTTCTTCAGAAATTCACTGCCGTGATGATTTGGGGGCACATTCCTTTACATAAAATGAACCAAATGCTTAATCTACACAACACTTCAGTTTGCAAACAATTGACTTCGATGGAATTATAATCGACCTATAAAAGAACATACTGTAAACTATTTGCAATATGAAATGATGTGTCGAATTACCCTGTTTTTTTTTTAATAAAATGCAAGTAAATCCCTTAAAGTGAATTATTTACAACTTGATAGAAAACTACCGGTAAACATGAAGCATCTCGTCGATGTGCACTCAAAAAACGAAGCACTTATGCGTCAAGTTTGTATAAGAATTTGAGGCAAAGTTTGATCCAAAATGTCTATTCATAACTCTTTTAGTAAAATTCTTGGTGGCCCTGAAAAGGGCCGGTTTTTCGCCAGAGTTGATGATGTTGGTTTTTAACCTCCAAAACCGTACAGAGTGCGTCCTTGTCGCTTCAAAGCGTAGACGACATCCATAGCCGTAACGGTCTTGCGCTTGGCGTGTTCTGTGTAGGTGACGGCATCCCGGATCACGTTTTCTAGGAACACCTTCAGCACACCTCGGGTTTCCTCATATATCAGGCCAGAGATTCGCTTGACACCTCCACGGCGAGCCAGTCGACGGATGGCAGGCTTGGTGATGCCCTGAATGTTATCACGAAGAACCTTACGATGACGCTTGGCGCCTCCTTTTCCAAGACCTTTGCCTCCCTTGCCGCGACCAGTCATTGTAGCTTGATAGGTTGAACTGTGCTGAACAGATGAAATGAAACTTATCTCTACCCCAGCTCGACTGCTCTTATATACCTTCCAGGCTCTTGCAGCATCCTTTTGTGCTCAGTAACAATTGACTATACACAGGCAGGAGCACACTATAAAAGCAACCGTCAGCGAGGTCGACCCCTCATAGACAGTATCTTGCCGACTTTCAAACAACACTTGCAATGGCTCGTACCAAGCAGACCGCTCGTAAATCCACCGGAGGAAAGGCTCCTCGCAAGCAGCTGGCCACCAAGGCTGCTCGAAAGAGTGCTCCAGCCACCGGAGGTGTGAAGAAGCCTCATCGGTACCGGCCAGGAACCGTCGCTCTGCGTGAGATCCGCCGTTACCAGAAGTCAACCGAACTGCTTATCCGCAAGTTGCCTTTTCAACGTCTGGTCCGTGAAATCGCTCAGGACTTCAAGACCGATTTGCGCTTCCAGAGCTCGGCCGTCATGGCCCTGCAGGAAGCCAGCGAGGCCTATCTGGTCGGTCTGTTCGAAGATACGAATCTGTGCGCCATCCATGCCAAGCGTGTCACGATCATGCCAAAGGACATCCAGCTGGCTCGTCGTATCCGTGGTGAACGTGCTTAAATTATATCTGGTGTAAAGTGATCGCAACTGTTTAAAAAAAATCGGCCCTTTTCAGGGCCACAAATCATATTTTAAAGAAAAGAGTTGAGTTTATATTTTCGGCGAATTCCCATGATCATCATTAGTGCGGGAGATATATCGCTTTGTTTGAAAGTAGTGCCATTTTTCTTTCACGAATACATGAATAGCCTAGAGTAAACGAATACAGAAAACGAGAAACGACGGTTAACTGTATATTTAGTAGGAAAAGATACTCGTCGCTAAATTGATTCACGAGGGTCACAAACCGTATTTTTCAGAAAAGAGATGTTCAGTTATTTTCTATGCTTATCATTATTATTCATGCAGTACCGTAAACTGGGGACAGATTGAACACGTTTTACAGAACAATGAGAATATTTTCTTTGTTTGCAGCTTATTTCTTATTGATGCCATAGTTAGTTAGTTTAGTTTTATTATAGAGACTTATCCTAACTAACTGTGCACCAGTACTGGTTTTAAAAGTAAACTTACCTCTACCACTTTGCCTTATAGAATGTTTTATCAAATAATTGTCGTAACTTTTATTATAATTAATGTTTATCAAACAATTCATGATATCACTTTGGGGCGAATTTAATTTTTAATATTTTGATTGATAGGTGTTATTCAAAATTTATTGCAGTTATTTTATTACCATTTCAACTCACATAATGTCTGCATAAAATATGATTATTATCTTCCATTCAAAGTTATTAAAGATCATTTCAAAGCATTGTATGATTAATTAACGTTTGTATGACCAACGCTTTGAGCAATGTAGGTAGAACGTGCCTTTAAATCATCATGTAGTAATTAATTTTCGAATAGCAAGTCGATTTTCAACTGTTCGTTCGATCAATTGCTCCCGCTTTACGGTAACTAAACCACTTTGTTTGAAATTTTCTTTCTCGAATACATGAACAGCTGAAGCAAACGAATACAGTTAACGAGTTTTCGAATTCGACGGTTGAGAGTATACAAATAGATGCCATATGAAAACTGACTCACTTATACAAACTAAGAACCACCATCATTATTATAATCACCACATGGATGTTGGTTTGAACGCGATGACACGCTTTTAGGTGTTTCTGGCGCAATAGCTGAACCCTCGTTGGTTTAATAACAAAATGATATATACATTCATTGATTCCGGGTAGGTCGTTAATATTGGAAAATTAAATGGAAATGTAGTAAACAGATAGTCTTTAAAACATAACTACGGTTCAGAGTTAGAGTCAGATTAATAGATTTCCTCTTCAAACTGTCAAATAGTTTCAATAAATGTTTCACATTAGACCTAATCAAAACGAAGTCTAGCAGCATTGTAGCCATTCTACAGCATCAATGATTATTAAATAAATATTCTTTGATCTTCAATCATGCTTATAAATTGCCAGATTAAGTATAAGGAATTCATTTTGCACTTATTTCGACTCCTTTTTTAGCATAAGCCTCGAAATTGTATCCCAATATCTCGAAATCAGGGCAATCTGTGATTAAATCTAATATCCGGATGAAGCTTCAATAAAATAAACTCTTTTTCGAACTGTTGTGGTCGCCCTGAAAAGGACGGTTTTGTATGTTGGGGCTGGTTTTCGATCTAATTTAAGCCTTCTTTTCGGTCTTTTTGGGCAACAGGACGGCCTGGATGTTTGGCAGGACACCACCCTGAGCGATGGTCACTCCGGACAGCAGTTTGTTCAACTCCTCGTCGTTCCGAATGGCCAACTGCAGGTGACGTGGAATAATTCTGGTCTTCTTGTTGTCACGGGCGGCGTTTCCTGCCAACTCCAGAACTTCAGCGGCCAGATATTCCATCACGGCAGCCAAGTAGACGGGAGCACCAGCACCAACGCGCTCGGCGTAGTTGCCCTTCCTGAGCAGACGGTGAATACGACCGACTGGGAACTGCAATCCGGCGCGGCTTGAGCGAGACTTTGCCTTTCCCTTAACTTTTCCTCCTTTGCCACGGCCAGACATGGTTCGATGTAGTAGGGTAGGCTACGATCTGTGAAAATGAAACGAGTAGCTGAAAGCTGAAATCGTACTTATGCCGTTTAGACGACACAGGGGTTTCTTATACCTGCGTCGAGTAGCATTTGATGTATACAAGGAGGGATCTACCCTTACAATACAAGGCTGTAGCCAGGATTTGAACTAGGGGGTTGGGGGGGGAGTCGATATTTGTTTTTACTGAGGAGAATTTGGACGAATGCCAATAGACCGAACGCCATTTTGCCGAATGCTTTAATGTTGCTGCCCCTGCCCTCTCCTGGCTACGCCTTTGTCACTATATAAAGCAAAATACTTGAAAAGGGAGGAGTGTTGGTTGCTGTTCAACGAGTATGAAATGATACGACAGTCTGTGTCGAAAAATATTAGTTTTTTTTCTCTACCCAAGCATACAGCTTTACCTACAATGGCACCGAAAACCAGTGGAAAGGCCGCAAAGAAGTCCGGCAAGGCTCAGAAGGTCATCGTCAAGGGAGACAAGAAGAAGAGGAAGACACGCAGGAAGGAAAGCTATGCCATCTACATCTACAAGGTGTTGAAGCAGGTCCACCCGGACACCGGAGTCTCGTCGAAGGCCATGAGCATCATGAACAGCTTTGTCAATGACATCTTCGAGCGTATCGCTGCTGAGTCGTCCCGTCTGGCTCAGTACAACAAACGGTCGACGATCACCTCCCGTGAAATCCAAACCGCTGTCCGTCTGCTGTTGCCGGGTGAGTTGGCCAAGCACGCCGTCTCAGAAGGAACCAAGGCCGTCACCAAGTACACCAGCTCCAAGTAGATTCGCATCACCTATTCAAACAATCGGCCCTTTTCAGGGCCACAAAGCAATTTTAAATGTAAAAGAGTTTAATTTTGAAAACAATTTCTTCTCTAAATGTACACGATTTACTGAATACCGCGTCTGAAATTGGTGCTTTTTTGTAATAGCTGTGGCATTCCAAGTTCACGGTTTATGCATAATTCCTTTGACCACGATACAATTATAATGAAACAGTGCAATGTAGCTAGATGCGAAAAGTGTAGGTTAGAATTTAATGACTGATAAAAATTACAAGGGAAATGATAATAATCGATTTGAAAGAAGAGTATATCAAGAGCAAGTTTTCATTACGTCGAATGCAACAAAGGTAAACAAAGTCGAGCTATCAGTGTCAATCGATTCTCCTGCTATTACACTATATACTGTCCGAATATTGGACCAATTCCCATTTTTAAATTTATTTGACGTAATCACCTTCCGATCAAAATAGTTTTCGATGTTACTCAAGTCACCCGATTTCTATGGAGATGCCGTTTGCCTTAAGTAACAGCGCTGAGAAACCCGTGAAAAGTGTACGTTCGTCGTTTCGCTTTCTCATTATTAAAGTGAATAAATCGAACTGTTTGTTGCTAAGATGATTTCGGTGGTCCTAAAATGATGAATGGGCTGCACGTAAGGAGACGTAATTGATAATTCTCCCGAATATCCTGGTAAATAAACTTTGACTTAAGTTGACAATAGGGGCCACCAAACGACGTATAATAACTTTTGACTCAAAAACCAGTGTTTTTTAGCATGAAAGCTAGCGATTTGCAATTGTATGATTAAAACCCTGCTAAATATGTTAAACATTGCTATCACTATGATATTATACGAGTTTAATTGAAAATAGGAATAACTTTTCGGTCATCAAAACTAAACTTTATTTTTCTCGGATTGGTGCGAATGTTACTTACGACATAATGAAAATTTGCTCTTGATATAAAGAGTGCTTGGACGGATCTCAAAAATTAAGTTCAATCAGCATTTGAATATATTACAGTTTCAACTTCTTACCCCACAAAATGATCATTCAAAATGTTTAATATAATTTAGACATAGTGAGCTTCAGTCAGAGTGGAAGATAATGGTTATTCCATAAGTAATCAGCTTCGAAAATATATTTGTTGTATTGTTACTTAGATTGTTAAGTGTCAGAAGCAATTTACCATACCGAAACTCGCCATCTTGTATTTTGGTCCGCTATATTGGATCCAAAATTGCACCGGATATCGATTTATGACATCAACTCGTCAAGCCTGTTCCGTAGGTATCCATATTGTCACCATCTTGGATTTCGGTCTGCCATTTTGGATCTAAAAATTTCACTGGATATAGATTTTGGACATCTACTCTTCGAGCCCGTTCCGTAGATACCCATATTGTAGGGTATTTGAGGCATTTTCAGAAACCTAAAGTCGCCATCTTGGATTTCGTTCCGCCATATTGGATCTCAAAACTACACCGGACATCGGTTTTTGACTTCTACGCGTCAAGTCTGTTCTGTAGATATTCATATTGTAGGGTATTCTAAGTATTTTCATGTACCGGAAGCCGCCATCTTGGATTTCGGTTCGCCATATTGGATCTCAAAGTTTGACCGGATAAAGATTTTTGGCATCTATTCGTCAAGATACTTCTGTAGATACTCATATTGTGGGGAAGGCATTTCCTTAAACCGTTAGTCGCCATCGATATCGATTTTTGACATCTACTCGTCAAGCCCGTTCCGTAGATACCCATATTGCAGAGTCTTCAAAGCATTTTCACAAACCGGAAGTCGCCACCTTGACTTTCGGTCTGCCATATTGGATCTCAAAACTACACCGGATATTGATTTTTGACATCTTTTCGTCAAGCCCATTTCATAGATACCCATATTGTAGGGTCTTCAAGTATACCTTCAATTTCGTTCACAATCATAAGGGCCTATCTGAAATGGAAACGATCTTCATAGGTTTTCAAATTCAAATTAATAACTCAGCTGGATTATTAGATCTAGGCAGTGTTCGGAAAATCATTCTCAAATCTCATTCATTTAGTCTCCTTGCGAGAATAAACTCACGTGCAAATGTGTTAAACAAAATTCATACTTGAGATTCTCGTGTATATTCACGCACTCACACTCACAACGTCGAAAAATCATTCCAACTTTAAACTCATAAAAACCACTCAAACGTCAATTGATACCATGGTTATGCATGTTTTGTTAGTTCTCCAACCCCTAATACAACAAAATAGTAATAACAATAAATAGCGGCAATATATAAAAAAAAATGAATTTTTGAACCTGAAATTCATCGGTGATTTTTGCGACGTTGAATTTTGCAAGGCAAAACTCATAGGCACATAAACTCATGCATGAGTTTTGAGTTTTTGAGTTTTCCCCGAACACTACTGGTTCTAGGTGTGATTGTTGTTGATTTTACACGGCAATACCTACTGCTTTTCACAGCACTGCATTGTTTAGTTAGTTTCGTTTTCAGTGTATCCTTTAAGAAGCTTTAAAGCCAGAAGCATTTTCATCTCATTTATGTTAAGCCCTTTCCATAGATACCCATATTGTAGGGTCTTCTAGGCATTTTCATAAACTGGAAGTCGCCATCTGGGACTTTGGTCCACTATATTGGATCCCAAAATTGTGACCGGAAATATATTTTTGACATCTACTCGTCAAGCTCGTTCCACAGATACCCAAGTTGTAGAGTCTTTGAGGCATTTTCATAATTGCTACTCTGTTAGTTTAATTTTCAGAAACTGAGTTAGTTTTGTTTACAGTGCATCCTTTACGAAACTTAATAACCACAAGCATTTTCTTTTCATTTATCCAAAGTTTTATCATATATTCACACGGCCGTTGAGTCTAACTCATATTTGAGATCCGTTTAATCTAATTCGCAAAAACGTGGACTGAGTAATACTTTACTCAAACATGAGCAAATTTCATTCATGTTTGAGTGAAATTTACTCAAATTTGAGTATAAATTTACTCAGTCTATGAGTGACCTACGTTTTTGCGAAGTGGAGTAAATGGAACTCCAATATGAGTTTGATTCAACTGTGCAAGACGGAAAGTTGAAATGAGCAATAAAAAGCTTCCCATCAGCAGTGACGTCTACATGTGATTTCGTTGTGTGCAAGATTGCATACAATTAATTTTAGGAAGTTGGATATGCATAAGTTTACATCACATTATAGTTGATTAATGTGCAGGCTTATATTGCTTGAATTGCAGATATATGAAGATTTTCGAAAGCCGTTGGATCGATCGTTATTGGGCGGCTTTTGTCATGAGACCCATCAGTTTCAGGAAAGGCATTTCGAGATCATTAAAAAAACAAATGTTATTTTCAGACAAAATTTAAAAAAAATATATATATAATTGGAATGGCTCTAATAATGACCTCAGGATCTAAGATTGGACCCATCGCTGAAAATCTGCTATTTATCAATTATATCTAGATGAACGCGTCATTGGGACAGTAGTAATGGATATGTTTGGTCGCTATTGAAAATTTAGTCGATTGCTGAAATTATATATGGGCCCAAATTAGGAACATTTAGGCTGACATCACATCCATTTCCCCTACATACAAAATCCTAGTAATCCATAAATCTAATCATAGCGGCGCCAGTGGTGTAATGGTAAGCGTGATTACCTCTCACCCCAGCAGGCCTGGGTTCAATCCCAGACGGCACCGCCAGGATGTTCTGAGGCATAACATCTCTGATCACACCAGTATATTACAACATTTTACAATAGATAAAGTGACATCTTTCAATCCATTATACTTTATCATCGGCAAAAAGGTAGTAATGTTGGCTCAGTGCCCCATCCCTGGCATTTACGGCACTGGGTAAGGTTTTAGAAATTTCCTCCATTTTTCCTGAAGTGTTCCCCCTTTACTCGGAGCATAAGGCTAGCTTTTTCTAAGGCCTTAAGGTTGTTTAGTTCACTAGATTTGAAGTGAACTAAATAATAATCATTAGAAATCCCGTTGTGTAAATCGCCAGGACGAGATTTCATTTTCATTTTGATCACTTGGACAGGCTCAACTCCAAGTAATTTTCTCATTTCATCTTTGATCTGATCCAGTGATTCACCACTGGGTAGACCTTTCAAGACAACCGCAAACAGAAAACCTTCTTGGCATTAACCCGGGTATTAGTGGAATTTTGCTCGAATGATGGATCATTCTCGTCATCCGTAAACGTATCAA